ATTTTTAACATTGGTGACCTTGACATTGTTAACATTGACCTTGACCCAAATGACCCCTTACTACACCCAAAGAAGGAGGATTGTATTAAACTAAGACATCACATAAAATATAAAGGCTGTATGAGCAAAAATGTTTATATTTATTTTTTAAACCAGTGACCTTGACCTTGACCCTAGAGACCGCTTACTCCACAAAAAATTAGAGGACCATCAAAGGTATCCACCTACTAAATATGAAAGATATCATTAAAGAAATTAAGCAATTAGGAGAAATTAAAGATAAATCCAACTTGCCGAAATAGGTTAACCAGACAAGGCCTTATTTTCAAAGTGAAAAAAGGGAAATAACTGGGAAATATGGATGACACAGTTATATAACTTGGCAATATCATGTACTTTGTATTGATAAGTAAGTGTGGAAATTATAAAGCCATTAGTATAGATAGAACTTAAGATATTTCCAACTTGCCGTTTTAGGTTAACCATTATTCATTTTTTAAGTGCTGAAAAGGGCAATAACTTGGTAAATATGAAAGCCAGAGTTATGTAACTTTCCCAGATCATGTACTTTGTATTGATTAGTAAGTGTGTAAACTTAGAAGCCATTGGTACAGGTAGAACTTAAGAAAAATCCAACTTGCCGTTCTAGGTTAACCTCGTACGGACAGACGGACGGATGGTTCAATCACTATATGCCCGGGGGCATAAAAATTAGTAAAGGGCCATAACTCTGTCAAAAATCATTGAACCGGAAAATGCTGACAATATGCACAACTAGACTTGGTACTGATCATTCCTGTAAAGTTTGAATGAAATTGCACCAGTCGTTTATGAGGAGTAGTCCAGACAAGTTTTGTGACGGACGGACGTTCTAACAGGAGAGTAATTATGTGGCTACTCTATTGTTCTCTCTATTGTTCTTTTTAGCCACACAAAAGAAAATAGCCACATAAAAGCATTACGGAATGAATGACATCAAAGAGAAAGAACAGTTACCTATTGTCCCTCTAGCCACATAATTACTCTCCTGTGAGTGCGACAGACGGACGGACGGACAGACGACGGAGAAGTGATACCTATCTGTCGCCACTACTTCGTAGAGGCGACACGAAAATGCTATGCCACCGCATTAATACAACACTAAATAGTAGTGTAGGAACAGATTTTTTTTTTGTTTCTATACAATTGAAGATTGTCATAATGCATAGAACCCTGACCTATCTAATTCTTATTATCAGATTAGTGGTTAAATCTATTGTTTTTTAAATAAAAGATCAGAGTAAAATATATATCAATGCAGTTGACTCTAGTAAATTTGGTGGTGAAGGTCATATTTCACACAGCCTAAATTTCACATAGACTACATCAAAGGACAACACAGTAAGACACTTTGTCAAAATCTAGATCAGCTGATATCAGAGTTCAATTTACATCTGATTTGTGCACATGGTTCAAATTTCATAGCTATACATCAAAGGACAAGAAAGTAGGTCACTGTCCCCTTGGGCAAGGCAAAATTTTGACCCAAGGGTTAAATTCAAAACAATGTTGATACAGATACAACAAACAACATTTCATGTCAAATATCTAAGCCGTAGCTTTCTCCAATTCAGAAAACATTTGTTTTAGTTTCTGTTTCTACTATGTGTACATAATGTTAATCAATGCCCCCAGGCAGGGGCCAATTTTGACACCAGATGAAAAATTTAAACAACTTTGGTAGAGGACCTATAGATGATATTATATAGCAAACATCAAAGCTCTTTGCCTTGTACCTTCAGACAAAAAGATTTTTGATTTTTTACTATATGTACATAATGAAAATCAATGACCCCCGGGGCAGAGCCAATTTTTACCCCAGGACTATAATTTGAACAATCTTGGTAGAGGTTCACTTCACAAAGTCTCATGCCAAATATTTAACCTCTAGCCTTTGTCAATTCAGAGAAGTAGATTTTTCAAGTTTTTACTTTATACATATAAGGAAAACTATAGCCTCTGGGGCAGGGCAATTTTAACAATAGGGCATAATTAAAACAACTTTAGTAGAGGACCCATAGATGATATTATATACCAAATGTCAAAGCTCTAAGCCTTGTACCTTCAGACAAGAAGATTTTTACTATATGATGTGAAAATCAATGACCCCCGGGGTTGGGGCCAATTTTGACCCCAGGACTATAATTTGTACAATCTTGCTGGAGGTTCACTACACAATGTTTTATGCAAAATATCTAACCTCTAGCCTTTGTCAATTTAGAGAAGATGATTTTTTAAGTTTTTACTATATACATATAAGGAAAACCTATGACCTCCGGGGCGGGGCTAATTTTGACGCTAGAGGCAAAATTTGAACAGCTTTGGTAGAGTATCTATAGATGATATCATATAACAAATATTAAAGCTCTAAGCCTTGTACCTTCAGACAATAAGATTTTTTGATTTTTTTACTATATGTACATATTGAAAATCAATGACCCCCTGGGCGGGCAAATTTTGACCCCGGGCTATAATTTGAACAATCTTGGTAGAGGTCTACCAGACAATGCTTTATGCAAAATATCTAAGCTCTAGGCCTTTTGGGTCTTTACAAGATTCTTATCATTCCTTTTGGTTGCCATAGCAACCAGATTTCTGCATGGAATAAAATTCTTTGAACAACTTTGGAAGCCCTTCACCCAAGGATCAATCCTGCCAAGTTTGGTTGAAATTGGACTAGTGGTTTTTCACAAGAAGATTTTTGAACTTCACTTTATAATCTATAGAACACACACACAAACACACACACATGTGAATCGCTATATGCCACCGCATCGCAGATGCTGGGGTGGCATAAAAAATGTCAATTTAGCTCTACCTTTTTCGGCCCTGAAGCAACCATGACCTACGTGTGTATTAATAATCGCTTGCAATTATAAAGAAAATAGAACAATATATTTTATTAAGCGCCTACGCAATAAATATGTAATTAGATTGGTTTACAGGAAGAAAAATAGTTGAAAGTATCTTGACGGGTATTAATTGGAACATAATACCCAGTCAACTGTTAAACAGAAGCAGAAATCAGCTGTTTCGAAAATATAAGTACACACCAAAAACTCTTTGAATTTTCATTCTTTGCGTAATAAATTTACAGCCTGCGTAAATGAACGCAACAAATTGGTAACCTTGTGCGTTTTTAGTTGATTTTTAAGCGTAAAATACGCCGATACGCACATTATCTGGAACTCTGCATATTGGGAAAACAATGACCCCTTGGGCAGGGCCAATTTTGGCCCCATGGCTTTTATTTGATCAAACTTGGTAGACACTCATTAGAAAATGTTTCATGCCAAATATCTAAGCTCTAGCTCTTTGTGTTTCTTAAAAGAAGATATTTTAAGTTTTTTCCTTTCATTGCCATGCCAACTTGAGTTTTGCATAAAATTAAGTTCTTTGAATAATCTTTAAAGGTGACCTACAAAGGAACATTCCTGTGAAGTTTGAATGAAATTGGCTAAGTGTTTATGAGGAGATGTCATTTAAAGTAAAAGTTTACCGAAAGGTAAACGGACACAGGTGAGCTAAAAACTAGCAAAATTTAGACATTTGAGCTTGAAGTTCAAAGTCATTCATGATTGAAGATCAAAGAGTGATAACAAAGTTTTCCCATTTTTGATCTGTAACATGCTAAACTAAATTTTGACCATGGATGACCAAAGTTCAAAGCTGAGTTAGAAATTATTAAAGCAAACTTTCTGACAAATTTTCAGCATACCTTTGTACTTGGGATGAAAATATTTAATACCTCTAGAATGTAAACAATATTTTTCCATAATTTAGGTTGTGTGACCTAGTTTTTGACCCAGATGACCCATATTTAAACAGGACCTAGAAACCATCTTAACAACCTGTCTAATTTCCAGGATATTTGGACCTTAACAGTTTCCTCTACAGGGTTAGCAAGGTTCTACCATATATGGGCTGTGTAACCTAGTTTTTCACCACAGATAAACTACATTTGAACTTGAGCTAGAAATCATACAAACAACCTTTCTAACAAATTCCCAGGATATATGGACCAAAACAGTAGCCACTAAAGTGTGAACAACGTTTGTCAATATTTGGGCTATATCACCTACTTTTTGACCCAAGATGACCCATATCGAACTAGAGCTAGAAATCATCTTAACAACCTTTCTAACAAATATCAAAGATATTTGCACCAAACAGAAATTCCAGATTATTTGCACCAAAACAGTGTCAGCAAGGTTCATATTTGGGTGTGTGACCTAGTTTTCGACCTCAGATAACACATTATTTGCACTGCTCTATATAGCATGCCAAATAGCAAACTTCTAGCCTTGACAAAACAGACAAGATGATTTTTTAAGTTTTTACTATATACATATGAGGAAAATCAATCACTCCCTGGGGCAAGGCCAATTTTGACCCTAGAAACTATAATTTGAACAATCTTGGTAGAGTTTCATTAGATGATGCTACACACAAAATATCTAAGCTCCAGGCCTGCACTTTCTGAGGAGAAAGTTTTTACTTTATGTACATATTGAAAATCAATGACCCATTGGTCAATTTGGACCCCGAGGCTATAATTTTTGGTAGAGGTCCACAACACAATGTTTCATGCCAAATATCTAACCTCTAGTCTTTGTCAATTAAGAGAAGAAGATTTTTTTAGTTTTTACTATATACATATAAGGAAAATCAATAAATCAATGACCCATTAGGGGAAGGCCAATATTTTGACCAATGGGCTATAATTTGAATTATTCTGGTAGAGGTCCAATACCAAATATTTAACCTTTAGCTGGAAACGGATGTACTGATCACGGAAGGACGATGGACACCTAAACAAATTGTTATCATAAAAGCTCAATGAAATTGGGACCAGACACTTTGTTCGGATAAGGAAGGACAAATCAGGGCAAATCCATTACACAAATTTAGCAGGCTAAGGGTCAATGGGTGCTAGAATGGAATACATGTACTACTGATACCTTGTGTGGTTTTGGGTTGAACTTGCTGTATTTTTTTAATGAGGTTACCAGGTGACAGTATAGTTGTCATACCACTGGCAGTCTTCAGTACAGTAGATCCTGCTGTTAGTGAAGATAAACCTTTTAGTACTGTAGCTGTACCCGTTGATGCTGTTATAAAAAATAAAAACAATGAACAGTTATAACAAATGATTATTCTTCAAAGAATCTTTTTCTCCTTTTGTTCAGCAAATTTTAACAAGAAGAGTGCCATCATGGCCTTTATATATCGCTCAAATGATTATTGAGGCTCTGAATTAATATTGTTGAATGAAAGGCAGATATAATGTCATAAACTTAAACCAATATGAGAACATTCATAACTGCACCTGAAAAAGTGCTAATGTTAATAAGTTTTTTTTTGTCATATATGACTTTTTTGACCCAAGGGCTATAATTTGAACAATCTTGATAGAGGTCTACCAGACAATGCCTTATGCAAAATATCATGAGCAAAATTGTAAAAATCTCTTCTTTTTTTTCAGCCTGGTGACCACTTTTCCTCCATCCAAAGTTAAAAGTACTATTTTACAAAGATATTTACATACTGAACAAGAGGGCCATGATGGTCCTGAAGTCGCTCACCTGTATATAGGCCCCCGGAGCAGGGCCAGTTTAAAGCCCGGGGCTTTTATTTGAACAAACTTTGTAGACAACCATTAGAAGATGTTTCATGCTAAACATCTAAGGTCTAGCTCGTTGGGATTTTTAAAAGAAGATTTTTTAATGTTTTTTCTTTACACATATAGTTAAAAACAATGACACACCTGGGGCAGGGTCAGTTTTGACCCCACGGCTTTTATTTGAACAATCTTTGTAGACACTTACTAGAAAATGTTTCATGCTTAATATCTAAACTCTAGGTATTCGGGTTTTTTAAAAGAAGATTTTTAAGTTTTTGCTATACTCGTATAAGGAAAATCAATGTCCCCTGGGGCGGGGCCAATTTTGACTCCAAGGCTTTTATTTGAACAAACTTTGAAGACACTCACTAGAAGATGCTTCGTGCTTAATATTTAAACTCTGGCTATTTGAGTTTTTTCAAAGAAGATTTTTCAATTTTTGCTATAGTTTTACACATATAGGGAAAATGAATGACCTCCGGGGTGGGGCGAATTTTGACCCCAGGGCATTTATTTGAACAAACTTTGTAGACAATCACTAGAAGATTTTTCATGCTTAATATCTAAACTCTAGCTATTTTTTTTTTATCCAAAGAAGATTTTTAAGTTTTTCCTATACACATATAAGGAAATTTGGAAAATCAATGACCCCCAGGGCCGGGCAAATTTTTACCCCAGGGCTTTTATTTGAACAAACTTGGTAGACACCCATTAGAAGATGTTTCATGCTAAATATCTTAGCTCTAGGTCTTTGGGTTCTTTTAAAGAAGATTTTTAAAATTTTTACTATATGTATAAATGGAAAATCAATGACCCCCTGGGGTGGGGCCAACTTTGACCCCAGGGCTTTTATTTGAACAATCTTGGTAGACATCCATTAGAAGATGTTTCATGCTAAATATCTTAGCTCTAGCTCTTTTGGTTCTTTAAAAGAAGATTAAATTTTTACTATATGTATATAGGGAAAATCAATGACCCCCTGGGGCAGGGCCAATTTTGACCCCAGGGCTTTTATTTGAACAATCTTGGTAGACATCCATTAGAAGATGTTTCATGCTAAATATCTTAGCTCTAGCTCTTTTGGTTCTTTAAAAGAAGATTAAGTTTTTACTATATGTATATAGGGAAAATCAATGACCCCCTGGGGCAGGGCCAATTTTGACCCAAGGGCTTTTATTTGAACATCTTTGGTAGACACTCACCAGAAGATGTTTCATGCCAAATATCTAAGCTCTAGCTCTTTGGATTTTTTAGAAGAAGATATTTAAAGTTTTTTCTTTTTGTTGCCATGGCAACCAGAGTTCTGCATGGAGTTAAATTCTTTGAACAATTTTTAAAGGTGACCACCAAAGGAACATTCCTGTGAAGTTTGGATGAAATTGGCTCAGCGGTTAATGAGGAGATGTCATTTAAAGTAAAACTTTACGGACACCAGACGAAAAGCGATCACAAAAGCTGACAGGTGAGCTAAAAACCTATGACACCCCAGGGCGGGGCCAAGCTTGATACTATGGACAAAATTTGATCAACTTTGGTATTGGACCTTCAGATAATACAATATACCAAATATTAAAGTTCTAGGCCATTTACTTTCAGACCAGAAGATTTTTCAAGTTTTCACTATATGTATATAATGAAAATCAATGACCCCCGGGGCAGGGCCAATTTTGACCCGAGGGCCATTATTTGATCAATCTTGGTAGAGGTTAACTTTACATTGTTTCATGCCAAATATCTAATCTGTAGCCTTTGCCAAATCAGAGAAGAAGATTTTTTTAGATTTTACTATATACATATAAGGAAAAACCTATGACCCCCCGGGGAGGGGCCAATTTTGACACTAGGGACAAAATTTGAACAACTTTGGTAGAGGACCCATAGATGATACCATATACCAAAAATCAAAGCTCTGGCCCATGTACTTTCAGACAAGAAGATTTTTTAATTTTGTGTTTTTTGAAATCCTTTTCTGGCCCTATGACCTACATATGCAACAGACTGGAACCATTTGAACAACTTTGAAAGGGGACCACCCAAGGATCATTTCTGTAAAGTTTGGTTGATGTGCAGTCTTTGGTTTCAGAGGAGATGTTGTTAATGTTCAAAAGTTGACAACGCACGACTATGCACGACGGACACAGGGCCATCACAATAGCTCACCCTGAGCATTGCTCAGGTGAGCTAAAAACTAAATATTTAGAGTTATTGTTCTTTAACACAGCACTTCCTCTGGCTTGTTTCTCTAACTGTGAAGTTTTTTTACTAAGATATTATTGATAGTTTAGAAGATATACCCCAGACAAGAATTATTAAAAAAATTCAAGTATTATAAAGGGAAATAATTAAAAAATTTAGAAAGGTAGAATTACCGCATTTTGTACACTGCCCTTCCTCATTCTACCTCTTACATGTACTTATCCCTATCACTGTCTATAGTTTGATTAGACTCCTTTAATATCTTTCAAGTCATTATCACGTAAAGAATTAAGTTTTACAAAGGGAGATAATTAAAGAACTAAACAATGTAAAGTTCTGGTTCTTGGACAATGAACTTCTTCTTTCTAGTCTCTACATCTGTATGTAGATTGAATGAGATATTGGTAATAATTTGGATAAGCATTTTTAACTTACAGAAAATAATTAACAAGAGTGCCAAGATTGCCCTAGATCGCTCACCTGACCCATCAAACTCATCCGAGCAATTACCTAGACTAGCATTCTGACCAAGTTTCATGACAGGTGAGTCAAAAATATGATCACTGGTGTGTTAATAAGGATTTTCCATATTTGAGCAGTGTGACCCATTTTTTGACCCCAGGTGACCCATAATCAAACTTGACCTAAAAATAATCAAAACAAACTTTCAGACCAATTTCCAAGATATTTGGATCAAAACAGTAGCCACTAGAGTATTAACAAGATTTTTCTATTTTTAGCTCCTGTGACCTAGTTTTTCATCCGAGATGACCCATGTTCGAACTCATCCCAGCAATTACCTAGACCAGCATCCTGACCTAGTTTGATGACAACTGAGTCAAAAATGTGACCACTAGCGTGTTAACAAGGTTTTTCTGTATCTGGGTGGTGTGACCTATTTTTTGACCCCAGGTGACCCATATTCAAACTAGACCTAGAAATCATCAAAACAAACTTTCAGACCAATTTCCAGGATATTTGGATCAAAACAGTAGCCACTAGATTGTTAACAAGATATTCTATTTTTAGCTCCTGTGGCCTAGTTTTTCATTAGAGATGACCCATGTTGGAACTCACCCGAGCAATTATCTAGATAAGCATTCTGACCAAGTTTCATGACAATTGAGTCAAAAATGTGACCACTAGAGTGTTAAAGTTTTTCCATATTTGGGCGGTGTGACCTAGTTTTTGACCCCAGGTGCACCATATTCAAACTTGACCTAGAAATCATCAAAACAAACTTTCAGACCAATTTCCAGGATATTTGGATCAAAACAGTAGCCACTAGAGTGTTGACAAGATTTTTCTATTTTTAGCTCCTGTGACCTAGTTTTTCATCAGAGATGACCCATCTGTTCAATTACCTAGACAAGCATCCTGACCAAGTTTGATGACAATTAAGTCAAAAATGTGACAGCTCCTGTGACCTAGTTTTTCATCTGAGATGACCCATGTTTGAACTCATCCGAGCAATTACCTAGACAAGCATCCTGACAAAGTTTGATGATGATTGAGTCAAAAATGTGACCACTAGAGTGTTAACAAGGTTTTTTAATGTTATGCTCCTGCGACCTAGTTTTTCATCAGAGATGACCCATGTTCGAACTCATCCCAGCTATATCCTAGACAAGCATCCTGGCAAAGTTTGATGATGATTAAGGCAAAAATGTGACTGCTAGAGTGTTAAGGAAAAAGTGTGGATGAACGACGGACATTCAACGATCCTAAAAGCTCACCCTGAGCATGCTCAGGTGAGCTAAAAAATTAAACAAGGTAGAGTTAGGTTCTTGAACACTGCATTTCCATTTAATGTGAGAAGTTAATAAAATTCCTTCAATACTGTTAAAGTTATTTTCTGGACAGGAGTGTGACAGCTGGAGTGGCATGCCACCAAAATGGGATAAGGGGCCATTCCTTTTATTTTCTTTTGTTTAATAGCTGACCATGTTGTCTTTAAAGGCAGTTATGGCTGTATTTTTATTCTAGAATGGTGTTGTTAACAACATCAAATATGAACATTATAATTTGAAAATACAAGTACCAGTATTAGTTACAGATTTTTTTTAGTTTGAAACAATAAATGCAAACCACATTCAATTCAAGGAACTCCACTGGGGATTTTTTACATAACAGGATTGGAAGGAATAAAAAGATAAATTTTCCATTTGATGTAGGTCTAGACCAATAACTCAAGTGAAATATTTCAGACCATTCGCTCACTCTGTTTTTCATGAATTATTACTCTTATTGTGAAAACCAAATCTTTTCACTTGAATCCGGCTAAGAATAGCACAAAAATACAATTTCATTTTTTTTTCTGAGTAAGTTTCTTAATTATCTTTTGCACATTTTTCTGTGCTGATCTATGTAAGGAAATTACAATTTTATGTTTTTAGGCTTTTGGACATCTGTGCCTGTGGTGTCTTTAAATACATCATGATGACTATACATGAGCTTTTCTTCCTATGATCTGTAATTAGGAAATTAATAGCTCATCATAATGTATACTTCCTTTGTTTCTTTAAGTGGTGACAGCTTAGTATTGTAGTACCCAGTTTTACTATTTTTATTTTCCAAATGGAGCAACTATCTCAATAGTGTCATCAACATTTTTGACCAAATAGGTAAAAGTTAGAATAAGTACCTGAAGTCAGGAGACTACCAGTAGCTGTTGTTACTGTTGTTTTACCCTGTGCTTCCAACAATCTTTTTTGTTGCATGGCAGCTCTCTGTTGTTTTAATTGTTCCTCCATCTGTTGTTTTATTTGACTGGCATTCTGCTGCGCCTGTTGACTACTTAACTTTTCCTTTAATGCTGCCCTCTGCTTCTCCACCCTGTTTAACAACAATTTTTATATTTAAAGTCAAGAAAATACTCTCCTAGATAGAAAAAAGATGCCCATGGGCAGAATGTCCAGTCCTAATTCAAACTTGAACCTACAGACTTCAGATCAAGGAGAAAGATGTATACATAGGTGAGATGTGTGCAGCACATCCTCTTTATACCCAAGGCAAAATCTTGACATTGCATGATCTTAAGTGACCTTGACCTCTGACCCAGTGATCTGGTTCATGTGCATGAAAGGTGACCTGGTTCATGTGCATGACATTAAGTTGCAAGATGAACATTTGTGTTTAAACTAGAACTGTGTCCAAAGGACACGGATGCCCCCACTGACAACATATATTTGGTATAGAGTGAAAAATCAACAAAGGGCCATAATTCTGTTAAATTTGGTTGCAGCAAAAATTCCTTCCTTTACTTCCATTTACACATTAAGGTTGTTCATCCCTAGAAGTTTAAGCAAAATCTGACATCCGGTTTAAGAGGAGTTGCGTTCACAATATTTCTACATAGTATTTAGTGAAAAAATCAACAAAGGGCCATAATTCTGTTAAATTTGGTCGCAGCGAAAATTCCTTCCTTTACTACCATCTACACATTAAGGTTGTTCATCCTTGGAAGTTTAAGCAAAATCTGCCTTCCGGTTTAAGAGGAGTTGCGTTCACAAGATTTAGAGACAGACAGACAAGTGCAACGCTATATGCCCCCCACTTTGTGGGGGCATAAAAATCTCAATTCAAGTTATTTGAAAATTCCTCCAGGCATGATATTGACCTTTGACTCTGAAGTAAGACCTTGACCTTTGCCACAGACATCTAAATTTTTCCCGCAACAGTCCACCACACTAAGAAGAACATTTATCTAAAGTTTTATTAAAGTCACACACTCATGTATTAGTTATGCTCCCAACATGGGTTTTGCGCTGACCCCCAATCTCCTCCACAGTGTCACATTGACCTATGAGCGCAGACCTGGGTTTTTGTGTGCAACAAACCACCCAATCATGGTGAGCATTTGTATCAAACTATTTTGTAACCCTTCAAGGAATGAGCAAGATAGAGTGCCAACAAACAAATTTTAATTTTTTTATTTGACCTTTGACCTTACGTGACCTTGACCTTCAACTCAATATGGACAATATTTGTGCTACTTTATATTAAAATCCATCCATGTATATAGAAGATATATCCTGGCAAATGAATGTTTTATTTTGTTATTTGACCTTTCACCCCTAAGTATGCCCTTGACCTTTAACACAGACACTTGAATTTTTTCCCGAACTCCACCTTGCTATGGAGACCATTCAGGGTTCAAACAGAAATCTATCAACTAAATTTAAGCATTTTTCAAGGACTTTTTAAAGGCCAATTTTGCATTTTCAAGTACAAGTTCTGCAATAGATTTCCTGCAAGCAATCGAAGTGTCAAGCAAAGATATCTAAAAAGCAAATTGTACATTTCAGGCACCTTATCACTGTCATTTATCCTGCATTTACCTTGGGTGTGTTTCTTCTCTTACATGTCTTGCTGCTCTAATACTTCATGCACTTTCACTTTCTCCTATACATGTATACCATCTATTTCAAGTATCTTGATGCATATCCGCCAGCACTTGCCAATGGGCATTTCAAACATTGCTTTTTATGATAAATGATAGATAATCATGAAGCTACTTGAACAGGAATTTACATTTTTTCCATTCTTAGACATTTTCAACCAAAATTTTCAGTATACTTTTTGTTTATACAGCCGAGACTGCCTTAGCCACACCCTGATTTCAACGACTCCCTGTCATATCTTGTTTCAGTCCTCCCAACCTATTTTCCTATATAAATGGTCTGAATTATACCACTCCCTGTCATATGTGAAAAGCGACCCTAATTGTCTGGTCCCAATGCATTGCTGTGTCTGATTTAAACGACTTTCACACCTTTTAATTGTCCGTTAATCAGATAAATAATACCTGTTTTAATATCCAGAGGGCGAAAATAATAAAGTCCAATAATTATCCAGTAGTCAATTCACTTCAAACAAACTCTACACAACTCTGCATCAATTACATGGTTTACATGTATACAGGTGAGAAGTGACGTAGCGTCCACTCCCTACTGCCAAATATGGTAAGCATGATGCAATTGATGTGTGTGTAATGTACATAATAACCTGAGTAAAGTGGATTAAAAAAAACAAGAATAAAGATCAACAAGGTAAAGGCAACATACACAGGATGCAGCCTCCGACACACCTAAGTAGGGCACCCAGAAGACACCCAAATCTTATGTCAGATTTGAAAAAAGAAATATGTGCCAACGGAAGATTTTTTAAGGCAGCACTTTTTTAGGCTGCATGAATACTATGGGAATATGTTGATACAAGACCTTTCTTTTAATAATCTCATTGGATATGGATATGTTTTTAAAAGTATGATATTCATTTTAAGGATTTGAAAGCATGAAGTTTTTTTGTACCATAAAATAAACCAAAAATGTGTCCATAGGACACGGGTGCCCCCACACTCCACTGTTTTGTTCTTTTGACTTCAGGTCAAATATTTTTTAGGCTACAAGTTGAAAACTAAAAATCATTTACTAAGTCAAGGGCAAGAACTTAACAAATACTGAATAAATCCACAAGCAAACCCCAAGGTGCATAAATACATCGCTGACCAACATTCCTGAAAACTTTCAGACCTACAGGTCAAATTATTTTTTTTCAGTTATGCATGAAAAGTTGAAAATAGCAAATTAATACTAAGTTAAGGACAATAACTCTAACAAAACTGAAAAAAAAATCCACATGCAAAACCCCAGGTACATAGCTTCACAGTGATGTTGATCATTATTCCTGTTGGTGGATTTTAACTCAAGCACTCGAGGAACAAATAACATAACATAATGGAACTGTTTTCACTTAGTCAAGGGCAATAAATCTGACAAAAGACAAAAAATCCACAAGTGAAACCCCAGGTGCACAACTTCACATGCTGAACAACATTCCTGAAAGGTTTCATGACTCTTGGTCAAATACTTTTTGAGATATGTGCGACACAAGTTGAAAATTGCAAATTTTTACTAAGTCAAGTGCAATAACTCTAAAAATACTAAATTTACCCACACAAAAATACCCAGGTGCACAACAACACATGCTGATCAACATTCCTGGAAAGTTTCATGACTCTAGGTCAAATACTTTTTGAGTTACGTGTGACACAAGTTAAAAATTGCAAATTTTTACAAAGTCAAGGGCAATAACTCTAAAAATACTAAATATATCCACATGAAAATATCCAGGTGTATAACTAAACCTGCTGATCAACATTTCTATTAAGTTTCATGACTCTAGGTCAAATCCTTTTTGAGTTACGTGTGACACAAGTTGAACATTGTAAATTTTTACTAAGTCAAGGGCAATTACTCTAAAAATACTAAATATATCCAAAGGAAAATACCCAGGTGCACAACTACACATGCTGATCAACATTTCTATAAAGTTTCATGACACTAGGTCAAAAATACTTTTTGATTTATGTGTGACCCAAGTTGAAAATTGTAAATTTTTAATGAGTCAAATAAATACAGTAGAGTATTGCTAATAAAACCCTTCTAATCCGGAATTTTTTCTTATCCGAAATAAGTGTCCGGTCCCGATTTTATTCGTTCTATTTTCAATACTTAAAAACCTTTCGGATCTGGAACCTGTCTACTTGGAATTCCAGACGATTTTTTCAATTTTTGTTCTTATTTTACTCTAAAATTATCCTCTCCGATCCTAACAGATTTCGCCAAATGTCACACCTATATTCAAAATAACAAATTATCGGTGTAAACATACACCAAACTGATAACAGTAATTTCACTTGATTAATGAGTGAAACGTATGATCTGCGAAGGTGTGAAAATTACTGTGACTTAGCTTGCCTTGATATCTACTTTAATTGCTTAATTGATTGTTCTTTCGTCACCTTCAATAAAATATTTTGATATAATGCAATAGAAGTATCTTTTAATCTTTTGTAATGAATTTAATGACAGGTGATAAAGTAATGGAAATTAAAGAAAACTGTCAGTGTATTTGGATAATTGCTGAATCGGATAAACTTTAACAATTGACAAATGCTGGTACGAATATTTAATAATGTCTCAGCATCCTGTTCAACATGGTAAGTTAACTTACCGTTGAGGACATAACATTTTTGCTTATTCATTTATTTTTGTATTGGCATGTATTTAAATGAAAGATAAGAGATTGCAAAAATAAAATATTTATATTGCAATTTCAAATGCATTACCGTTTTCTTTCCTTAAACTATTCTGCCGATAACATGAACAAACATGTAAAAAAAACCTTCTAATCCGGAAAACTTTCTAATCCGAACTTTTCTTCTGGTCCGGACGACTTTATATTAGACAGATTCCACTGTATATCCACACGAAAATACCCAGGTGCAGAACTACACATGCTGATCAATACTTCTATAAAGTTTCATGACTCTAGGTCAAATACTTTTTGAGCTACCTGCGACACAAAAGAGAATGGACGGAAGGGAAGGATGGACTGATGGACATGCCAACAATTGGGGTTTATGTGCTTTTTCTTTGATCTTTATGTGGCATTTTTCCCCATAAACCAGTAAAATTACCACATAAACCAGTTGGTTGGTTTATGGGATTTCCTTCTTTTTTCTTTTTTTTAACTAAAATTATGGACGGAATGAAGCTCATAGACCATTGGATGTTCTCCCGGACAGACAGACAAGGGTAAATCTAAATGGGGGCACAAAAATAAAATAAAATAAAATTTTATATGATATACATGCTATTATATTTGTTTCACAGGGATTCTTATTTTATTTACATCAAATATTTAAAGTAATGTTTATTTGCAATTGGTTAGATTTTATTCCGTCACACAGTTATAAATGTATGATTAGTCACAATAGTATATCAATATAGACAGATAGATGGTATTTAAATTTTAAATTTCTTTGAAACTGTTTTAAGAGACCTC